TAAATTATATTCTACTTGTTTTCGGTACATCATTCGAGTAGTCTACGCGGGTTAGGTTCCCACAGCGGCGAGAACCTTTTCGTCCTATTTTCTACCAACTTTAATATTTCATCTTAGGTGTAGAGATTAGCACTATAAAAATTTTAATTTCGTTCTTCGTAGTAAAACGATATTCGAATTTGTTTGTATGCTGTAAAGGATATAACAATGGATGCCCCAAGCATTATTTGAAATGCGAAAAATAATAGAGATAAAAGACGTTGAGATTTTCGTCAGTGAGGCAATTGGCCGTTTAGCTTAGTGGTTGAGGCGTCCGGGCACGAATTAGAAAGACCTATGCGAAATATATTTTGATATACCTAAAGACGTCGTAAAAGGCGTCAACTGATAAAGGGATAAAGATATAAAGAACGCCCGTTATGGTTGGAACAAGCTAAGCGTTTTATGGACATTTCACGAAAAAAGAAGTTGTTCTATTCAGAGTATTGAATGAAGAAACCGGATGCCTTTGGCTGTCTGCATTGTTTGGTTCGTCAAGGCGACAAGACAACCATCTTCATATGGGACAGGTGTTCATGGGCCACTATGGTTGTCACCATACAGCATAAGCAATTGTTCGTAACATAGTTAATGATATTCCCTGATTTGGTTTTAAATTGAAATCTATATGAAAATTAAAAAAAAATTGAAAATTAAATTGAATCAACTGCGAACGATGTTATTAAAAATATAATTTTGAATCATGTTTTACTGTAGTAAAATTTGTTACCTACATACATTTACTGTTCTCGAGTTTTTTTTGTTCCAACCTTCAATTTATAACAAGAACAATGTTATATAATGATATTTATTGTACTTCTTTATTGACTGAAATGTTTTTAGTAGCGTCCGTTAAATAGTATAGTAGTACTGACCGTTTAATTCATTTTGTTGATAAACATGAAGAATCATAATAATAATTCAATGTATATACGATAATGTGGCAGACCTTCGTAAGTACACCGTGTCAAAAACAACAGATAAAACTGAGATAAATAAAAAGCTGTCGAGTTATCGCCACAGAAGTTGTTTAGTAGGTGTTTTTTTTTTTTGATTTTATTTACTCAATGAACGGTCAGTGTGCTTTTGCATTAATTAACAACCAAATGAATGAAGAACATCAAAATGTCTTCGAGTTAAAGAGTTTAGATGATGTGAATCGTATGTAAATCAGAATGATCTTTTTAATGATCAAAATTATCAATTCAAGAGTTTAACCATCCTTTTGTCAACTCAAATTACATTTGAAAAGCCATTTGACAGCTGATTAGTTAATTTCTACGATGATCAGTGTTTCACAAACCGGGCGTAAATGTGATGAATCGTGGAATATTGGATTTTTCAATTCACTTAAACTGAAATTACTGTCATTGATAATAACTAGTACAGTACTCTAGATGCTTCATAGCTTTGGCTAAGAATGTTTTAACATTCTTTGACTGAAACGTGGGTACTCAATGCGAACCGTATAAATAATACTGTGGCATAATTTTTCTGTATAGGGCCACTCAGCAGCTTCTACTGTTGCAAGAATGGGCAGGCTCATCTGGGGTAGCACCACGGCCTCATAGTAGACCGGCGTGAAGTGTAAGTATTTATACTTTCGCGTTTCGTATATGTGTGATAATGGGGGCACCATTTTTAAAAGGTTGCCAAAGCATCTACAAACTCATACGGCGGTAGGGCCACGCAGCAGCCTCGGCTGTTGCACGAATGGGCAGACTCGTCCGGGTAAGTACCACGACCACACAGAAGACCGGCGTAAAGTGGAAGTATAATACTTTCGCGTTTCGTCTGATGAGTGAGGTGGCCGGAGGCCAATTTTCAAAAGGTTGTCAACGCATCTGCAACCCTCGGTTGTAGATGTCTATGGGCGGCGATATTCACTTAACATCAGGTGAACCAACTGCTCGCTTGACAATTTTTCACATTAAAAAAACCCTAAGGTGTAGCAGACGTCTATGAGGCGGTATCTAATTAACAGCACGTGAACATCCTGCATAATTTCCAAGTAATTGTTAGGTAAAATTGCGATCAAGAACTGGATAAAGCTCTCCCAGCGGAAACGCATAGGGTTATCTCCGCGGGCTGGGGGTCCCGTTGAGGCCTTTGTGGCGGGTCGTGATAAAAAATTGATACGTCCGGCGAATTAAGAGCGCTATGAGGAACATGGTACGGCCGTGCAAGCCTTCTCTATTGCACGAATGGGCAGGGCCGTCCGAGTGAGTACCACGACCTCACAGAAGACCGGCGTGAAGAAGAAGTGTTACACTTCTGCGTGCGTTTCGTCTGGTGAGTGAGGTAGCCGTGGCCCACTTTATTAACTGGCAACGCATCTGCAACCCAATGGGTGTTGCAAATGTGATGATGGGCGGAGGTTGTCACTTAACGTCAGGAGAATCGCCAGCTCGTTTGCCGCCATCTCTCAGAAAAAAATGAACCACGGAAGCCAAACAAAAACGTTCACGACAGTTCCAATTGTGTGGACTACGAAAGCAAGTGTACAAGATCTAACAAATTATTTTATTTGTTACTATCCTTTTAATTTCCAATTCACTTGTCTTAGTCTTTAGTGCGTGATCATTCGGTATTTTCGCTTAAGTTCAACTGACATACTCAACATTGATCATTTTTAGATTTGTAAGCGATGAATACGCAAAAAGCTTTATAGGTAACCTAGTAGAAACTTTTCCGTTACTATAATTTTAAATTAGACTTTATTTGAAGGAGGGTTATGTTTTTCGAGAGTATGTATGTGTGTTTAATTGTTTGGCACGCTCTGCAGCCTGAACCGGCTTGATGGATTTTAGCTAGAGAGGTGTCGTTAGATTCGTATTTACTGTGAGAGTGACACTGGGTATGTCAGGAAAAATTACACAGAAACCCAGTCCGGTTTTTTACTTTTGTAAATTATATTCTACTTGTTTTCGGTACATCATTCGAGTAGTCTACGCGGGTTAGGTTCCCACAGCGGCGAGAACCTTTTCGTCCTATTTTCTACCAACTTTAATATTTCATCTTAGGTGTAGAGATTAGCACTATAAAAATTTTCCAAACAAAAACGTTCACGACAGTTCCAATTGTGTGGACTACGAAAGCAAGTGTACAAGATCTAACAAATTATTTTATTTGTTACTATCCTTTTAATTTCCAATTCACTTGTCTTAGTCTTTAGTGCGTGATCATTCGGTATTTTCGCTTAAGTTCAACTGACATACTCAACATTGATCATTTTTAGATTTGTAAGCGATGAATACGCAAAAAGCTTTATAGGTAACCTAGTAGAAACTTTTCCGTTACTATAATTTTAAATTAGACTTTATTTGAAGTACTTATATGCTTCACAGAATAACACTGAATCAAACATTTAGACCAGAGAGGAAAATATTATTTAAATATTCTTTTTTAAACTTCTAGAATACAAAAGTATGTAGCAAATGATGTTTTAATAAAGATGACAAATGTCCAACTGTTTGAAACTTTACTCCAATAGACGCTTGCGCGTTCTTATGAAACGTCAAAGTTTACATAAATAATTAATACACAAGTTCGTACTGTGCCTTGCCACCGTTGTCTGTGCTTACTTCACAAAATTAGGTTCACTTAAACATCAAATAATTAAACTTCTTCTTATAAACCCTTCATATTTACCCTTACCCTTTTTACAGCTATAAATTATGGACCCAAGATATAGGTCAATATAGGTACCGTTATCTTTGCCTTCCTTCCGCACAGTAGATAGTTTGTACTTTAATATTAAATGTAGCAAAATTATAATTAGGTATATTATATTTTTAATAAAACCGGTAGTGACTTACAATATCGGCATCATTTGCAAAGCTACGAGGCAAATATGCGTGACCCACAAATAGTTGGTGTAACCTTAAATCATCACTTATTTACGGTGGGAACGGTAAGGTAACGTAATGAGCACTTATTTATGGCAAGTGCGATTCGAGCGTGAGAGATATATCTGTTACGCCGGGAAACATTGCCACGCGTTCGTTTTTCGAGGACAAGTGTTTTTTTTTAATTCATTATAGATTTACACTTGTTTCTTTCGTTTAGGATAAATTAATTAAGAATTTTTTTATTATGTATATGTATTCTACGAATTTTCTTCCAAATTTAAATAAGGCTAAGTGGTCATGAAACGTAACAACTTTTAGAATGCGTGAAATGACATAGTGATGAAATATTTTTTTTTCCAAAGTACAAGTGATACACTGAACAAGTGATTTTAGAAAAATCTTGAAGGTGCGGTACATGGTATAACCGAGTTGGTTCATGCTTTCTGAATGTTTGTTATCTGATAAATTCAAGAATACATTTTTATATATCAAACCATTTATACTTAACGAGATAGACAGAGAGAAAATGCGTAATGGCTGGTTGACACGTTGCGAGCAGCTAACCTGACAAGGGGCACCTTTATTGTGTATTTGCATTAGCTGAGCTCGCATGCGCTGTCCAGATTCGAATTGAAATGCCTTCTGTCTACCACGCAGTGCCAACGAAAATAAATAGTTTAGGTTTTCTTTAATTTTCATAAATATAACGGGAAATTCCAATTGGATTACAATAAGCATTTTAAACTTAGTTAAGAATATCAATCGCCTGTATCCAAACTTAAGATACAGACAAAAGACAGGGATTAAGTCTTTATTACTCCCACGGACTGCAGTAATAGCGAAGTGTAAACAACTCCTCGAGCGTAATGTTTCATAAATCGTATTAGAACGGTGGCATTTGCGGCTTGCCTGATAAAACCGAATTCTTAGATAAAATTATTAAAATTTTGCACGGTTACGACGATTTTCAATTGGATTAAACATCTCTTCGAAGAGATTATAGTTTAATGGCTCGCTCAAATTATCGATCACGCGTTTCGGTATCGCGCAATCTTGAAACGGGTTTCCAATCGAGCGAAGGCATGCCGAAGCCCGAAAGAACTAAGACTAGGGACCGACCTGTTTCCTTTTGAGGGGCGCGTGCGCGTTCGCGTGGTCGCGCGCGGCCAGCTCGTCGAGCAGCGCGGCGCACTTGTCGCGCTCGGCCTCCTCGTCCGCTACGAGCAGGAAGCGGCGCCAGCGCGCCGAATCGAAGCCCCAGTGGCAGGTGCGGTGCTCGGTGGCGTGCGAGTGGCACACGAAGCGGCGCGGCCCGTAGAGCGCGCGGCACTCGGCGCACTGCACGAGCCCGCTGTGGGGCGCGCACACGCCGCGCGCGCCGCCGAAGCACTCGTGGTAGACGCGGAAGCCGGGCAGGGGGCGGCCGCGGCCGGCCGCCGCCGCCGCCGGCGAGTGCAGCAGCGCCGCGCACAGCCGCTCCGCGTCCGTCTGCGTGATGAGCCCGCACGAGGGCGCCGAGCGCGGCAGCACGCCCGTCGACTTCAGCTCGTGCAGCTGCTCGGGCGTGCAGCGCGAGCAGTAGATCTGCAGCTCGTCGCACACGCGGTTTATCTGCTCGAGGCTGAAGTCCGTGAGCACCGAGGTGAGGATCTGCGGCAGGCAGAGGCGCCGCTCGCCGCCCACGCTGAAGCACGAGATGGGCTCGCCCTCGAGGAGCGTCTCGCCGCGCTCGCCCAGCACCGGGTCGGCGGCGAGCAGGATGGGCGGCGCGGCGGGCGCGGGCGGCGGCGGCGGCGCCCGGGCCGGCTGCTGCGGCGCCGCCGCGCGCCCCCGCCCCGGCCCCTGCAGGCTGCGCGGCGCGCTCGCCTGGTACGTCTTCAGCACGGAGCTGATGTGCGGCGTCACTACGTCCATGCTCGCTCGTGGCCGCTCGCGCCCTAGCGCGCGCTCGGCCGCGCGACTCGCTCCGCCCGCGGCGCGGACATGTCTGCCTGTGCCGCCGCCCGCCACGGGCGCCGCGACGGCCCGGCCGAGCCGCTCCGCGCCGGCGTGCCCGCCCCCGACCGTTCGGTGCTACGCGTACGCGGCCGGCCGCCTCTCCTCACATAACTGTCGGCGGGCCCCGGTCGCGAGAGCCGCCGGGCGCGCACTTCACTTCCTTCCCTCGTTCGCGGCGTGTCCGAGCGATCCGGTCGCAGCGTGGCCGTGGGGCCGTATGCCGTATATGCGTGTGGCGCGCTCGGTGCGGTGCGCGGCGAACGGGCGGCTGCGACGGGCCGTGTGTTCCGGCGACTGGCCGCACTCGAAGCGGCAGACGGATGGCTCGGCTACTGGAGAGTCTAGCCGGCGCCCCGCGCCGCGCGCGGCCCCCGCGCCGAGTCACGTGACCGACCTTCCCGTCAAAATATCCAGAATGGCGGCGCGAGCCGAGGCCCGCTCGACTCAAAGACTAAAACGCCGCAAATACGGACGTACCTACCTAAACATTTACATATATTAAGCTAACAAAAAATCACACTTAAAAACATAAGAAATATTTCTGAGTGTCTTTTTTTACAATTTATAATTAAATATATATAATATAAAATTTATGTACTAAATGAAGTCTGTGTTATTTTCCCTTTTTCCTGAAAAACATAACTCTAAAATATGCTTAAAATTTTTTATGAAAAGTTAAATAAAAAATTACCCTTTCGATATGAAACAGCTTTATTCATTTAAAATTATGTTGTAAGAATATACTTTTCTTTTAGTTGAGGAATTGGTATTTAATTTTCTTTAAACCATAGAAACAGAAGTATTCTAAACTATTGAATCTATGTATTTTATGTTGAATGTTTCAATTTGTATACACAAGTTCAAAACAAGGTAAAATAGGTTACGGTGTTAGTTTAACTTCCAAGTTAAATATTTCCTCTGAGAGACACTGAAACTCATCCATGTAATACTTTCTATCGACGAAATATCTACTTAATTTTATCTTTGTAATCGCGACACGCGCGGGGAGTCAAGGGGCGCGGGGTGGAAGAGTTGCGGGATGCGGGAAGGGGGGCAGCTGCGTCTAGTGCGACCGTTCGCTCATAGCTCCATGAAAACTGCTTTTATCACTAACGCTTACTTATTCGAAAATAGCCTCTATGATTATGGGTATTAGACCCTTTTTGGAATAACTGTGTATATGTCTACAAATATTGCGATATTGTAATCATTCGATTAACAACTTTGCTACGTTGCGTTAAAGTCTGTTTACAGTGAACCGCTTATTACAAAGCATTTGGAATACGGTGGCACACAGACATCGTGTACTTGATACTTCATTGTACAATACTCGAGCAGAGCAATAGTTACGTCACACGGTCAAGTAAACGCAAAAGGAAAAGTTTCTACGGAGAATCGAAGCTCTCATGCTTTGTAAACTAAACGAGGTAGATACCTAGCTAATTTTCACAGAGTGTAGGTACTAATTTGCAAAATAGACATTAGACTATGAGTTGACTAGAATTGAGGGGTTTGACGAACACGAGATCGTAAATAAAATGTTTCAGTCATTAGAATAGTCTTTAATAGTTTTTAAAGTAAAGACCGCTAAAAACTTTTCGAGAAATGCATGTTAAAAGTCCGAACTCGAATATGTTTTCAATTATGCAATTGTAAACAGAAAGATTTTGATTGTACTTCTGTTGTGTTTACCCTTAAGAGAATAATACACGTAAGATGTTTCAAATTTTTCGCTTGTATAGGAAAGTGACTGACAATTCTATTGAAACATTCCTTTACGCACATACATTCATATTTTTCGTACATAGCTATAGACTTACGGAACATTTGTGTCTAAAATAAACTGACCATACGTCCCGTTTTGAACGGGACTGTCCCTTTTCTCGGACAGCTGTCCCTTTGTCCCCGAACAAATCTTCGGGACGCAAAATTGTTCCGTTTTCCGAAACCACGCGAAATTTTAAAACCTCGCTCGTCAGACATGATCATGAGCAGCACGAAACCGCGATTGGTTATCGGTTACCTAGTAACGCGGTGAGGAGGAGAGGGAAGGGGGCATTTGTTTCTTTCAATAGGCTAGCCACGCGTATGTATTCTGACTTCTTTATGTTTTTGTGTAATGTTCGCTAAATAGTTTGTAGATAATTAGAAGTTTTCAATTTTTTCCTACAGTTATGCCGAAATCCAAGTGTTAATTTAATGTCAACCTACAAACAAAATACCCATTTATTGAGCAAATTAACACTCCTTCGGATGTCAGATGCGAAAAGTGTCACACAGTTTAGTGTTTCCCATAGTGGGGTTGGTGAAATTTGAACATCTCAAGTTCTGAAGGCGATGCTGATAACAAAGGTCAACATAAAAGAAAAGTGTCAAATTTTATTCTTATTTAAAATCGTCACCTTCTTTATTAAAACAAATTTGTTCCTCTGAGAAATATAAAACGATATTTAAAAACATACTAATTTAACATTCACTATTTTTTATTAAAACATACAATGTTTTAATAAAAAATAGTGAACTAATAACAATGAATAAAAAATAATAACAATGAATGCAGTTAGTAACTAAAAAAATAATCAAAACTATAAAAATTATAAATTATAAAAAAAAGAAAATATAATAAGTGACTTCGTAGACTTCAAAATAGGGGAGGTTCTCAACTCGACTGTATTTTTTTATGTTTGTTACCTCATAACTTTCTACTGAATGAACCGGTTTTGATGATTCCTTTTTTTATTTGAAAGCTGGTGCTTCCCACGTGGTCCCATATTAATTTCATTGGTATTGGATCTTGGGCTCCGGAGGTACGTAAGGGACTGCCTGAAAATCAATTATAAAATGAATACAGAGAGAGATACTTGAAGTCGGTTTTGTTTTTCGTTACTAAAAAAATGGACTTGTTACAAGTAAGAAATCTGAAAAATGAACGTTATGGTTGGTGTACGGTATGAAAAGTACAATCACGGGCGTGACCAGGTTTTAATATAGAAATAAAACGGCAGAAATGTACGTACCGTACAAAGAAATAACACTAAGTAATATAAAAAAATACACACATTTCGATTTATGATTCACTCTTTGTCATAAAATCCATTCAGCTTGTTTGAGGAATTGATAATTTAAAAATGCATGAATGACATACTGGGTATTGTCAGATTTTGCATATTTCGAGGGGTGTTTGAACCCCCAAAACCCCCCTCGGCTACGCTCATGGATCACCTCCCAAGATAACATAGAAACTTTGAAACCCTTAATTTAATAGACTTGGTAGAGATAGAGCTGCACCGGCTAGGCGTTTGAAAATTTACACATTTGACTCGATCAATTTAACTGTGTTCTATTAGCTATTTCTAAGGAGTGGACGCTACTGTGAAAACGACGAAGTGATTACCGACATTCCTTGGCATTAATATAAGACCCGATAGAGGCTAAGTGTCTTGTCAATGTTTCAGAGTGTTCGACTCTCATTCATCTCACTTACATGACACAAACACAAAATCACAAGTACATCTGTTTTACAGCGGACGTTTGTGAGGGTGTAGTTTTTTGTTTTTAACCGACTTCCAAAAAGGAGGAGGTTTCTCAATTCGACCGTATATATTTTTTTTATGTGTTCGCGGATAACTTCGTCGTTTATGAACCGATTTTGATGATTCTTTTTTGTCGGAAAGAAGATATCCCAATGGTGGTACCATGATAAAGAACCCCGGATCTGATGATGACATCCCAGAGAAATCGGGGGCCATCATTAAATGTTACAATTATTAACAATGTTTTTAATTTTCTGATTGAAGTCAGTTTTTTTTTGTTAAAAATTATACTTGTTGTAAAATTATAACTGATGTTACGCTTTCAGTCCTTAGACTATTCAAGCGCCATCGAACGCAGAACCGGTGGGCTAGCCAGAACCCACGGGTTTGAGGCCCTCCTCGGTGGGTAGGGGCGCGCATGTATTCATGCGTGCGTTCATTATGACACTGTGGCCTACGGGCCATCTAGGTTCAGTGCGGACCGTGACCCAGATGGCCGTTCACTGTGCTTGGTTAATCGGTGGCTAGGGGCAGTGAGAAACGCGGGTGTATCTAGTTTACGCGTTGTGTTGGTTTCACCGTGCTCGAAGGCAAGGACGAACTATGGTGTTTGTTGATGCACTAACTGAGAGAGTTTAGTGTTATAAGGCGGGACCTACGACGGTATTTCAGGATGTAGCACTCGTATTATCCCGGTACAGCAGTATGAACCGGCAAACATGCCAGCACAGATAAAGCTCCAAAACGTTTATATTAAGTTGATATGAAATTGTAACATTGCTTGTGTTTCACAGCCTATTTACAGCCGTTGCGTTCTGTAATTGCAATTGATAACAGTTTCCGTGTCAAAACCGTTTATCATATTTTAAAATGTAAAAAAACACATAGAAAATCAGTGAAGTTTATTTAAAATGCTGTACTGAAATCCTTTACAATAATAAAAATAGGAAAACTTGGTAATTATTTTTGATTTTATTAAAATTTGTAGAAAAAAGTACGAAAAGCTTTTCGCCCCTGTGGGCATCGAATCCACGTGGTCGGGATTCGCGCCCTGGGTTTAATCAATAAAAATTTAAATTTCTAAAAAGCAATGACGACATCTCTCGCTCGAATTATCGTTTGAAAACGATATTCGAAACTGTTTGTATGCTGAAGAGGATATACTCGTAACAATGGATGCGCTAAGCATTGCTTCAAATGTGATCTATATAATATGCACAGTAGGTAAGAAGTGATACAAGTTTTTTTTCGGCGGCATGAAAAATTCTGTTGCGATATATTAAATTTTTTTAATTTAAGCACGATTCAACAGGTAGCCAATTTTGTCTGTGTGTTTTCTAACATATGGGAATTTCTAACACAGAAGATACGCATTCAACTTTGGCTGCCTTCACTAGTTTACAGTGACGCATGCGTGGAACTACGAGCATGTTGTCATTTACGGTTTGCTTGAGACTCTGTAGCCCATCAAATTTTTACCCGCTGCAGCTTTTTACTGTGAAGGATGATGCCGACTACACTATTAATGATGTTTTATTTCTTTTAATGTGAAAAGTTGTCAAGCGAGCAGGCGGTGTTAATATCATCAGCATACGTTACTTACATATGTTGATGATCCTATATCGGATTGTTTACAAATATCAATAACATCAATAATAAAAATGTTGGACCAAGATGTGACCCCTAGGGTACACCAGATTTCACTGGAACAAAAGCCGCACAGACGACTTTTATTAAAACGGCCTGCCTTCGATGACACAAATAAAAGATAAGCAGCGAAGCAAGTCTCCATGTATTTAGTCTCTGTAACTTCCTAATTAATACCATGTGATTTACCTTATCAAACGCTTTTGAAAAGTCACATTACATCAATTTAACGACCAGTATCCATTGCTGATGTAATTTTATGAATAAATTCGCATTAATGCATTTGATTCACTATGGCATAAATTTACGAACAGAGAAGATATACCATCAGGACCAACACGCGAGTAAATATTAATTTTCTTTAAATATTATCTCACAACTACAAAAGTTATTGCAAGAGACCTAATGGCAACATTACGAAAACAGCGTTCAAATCTGTAATGCATATTGTACATACATTATAAATCTGGATCTTAGGAAATTTATGTTCACTGAGAATAATATACATATTTATATATGTGCGTGTTTATGTTAAAATTCAACTTTTTATCACACTCTTTAACTGTACCATTGGGCCACGCACCAGTCTTCGCTGTTGCACGAATAGGCAGGTTAGCACCATGGTCTCACAGAAGACTAGCGTAAAGTAGAAGCGTTATACTTCTGCTTTTCTTCTGATGAGTCAGGTCAGCTGGGGCCCACTTTATTAAAAGGTGGCAATGGATTTGCAGCCCAACGGGTGTTGAAACTAAGACCGCTGTCTGTCTGTCTTTCACCATGCTGTATCTCATGAACCGTGATAGCCCAAATTTGGTAGAGTTGCTGTCGCATGATAACATAGTATTACAGTTGAAATTTTCACAGATGATGTATGTCTGTTGCCGCTATAACAACAAATATTATAAAAACAGAATAAAAAATATTTTAGGTGAAGGCCTCATTCAACAGACAAGGCAATAATTTTTTTTTTATGTCGTTTTATAAATTATGGTACTGAACCCTTTGTGTCCAAGTCCGACTTGCAGTTGGCCGGTTTTTTATAAAGTAACTTTTATATATTTATGAAAAATTGGAATATATTTTTAGGTTTTGACAATCAATTTTCCAAGAATCGATTCAAAATTATTATCTATGGTAATGGCATATTGAAATATTGACTTTTCCTCTGCTGCCCTGAGATAATGGATTGGTTAATGTCAAACAATCGCGTAAATTGTATCCACGTAAATTAGATTTTTTGTTAGCCACTTATTAAAGCAAGAAGTAGATTTTTTGTTAACACATCCCTCCTACTGCAAGTCTGCAACTTTTATATTATCGATACTTAGCGTTGCCTGTCTCCTTGAAATTGTTGAGTAAGTGAATGGTGTTATTTATTCATTTTCTTATTTTATTTTGTATTACAATTATTAAGAAGTTAACGATGAAATCGGTAAACAACTTCCAATTTTTCTTCAGAGTTTGATGGATCCTTGGGGAGGCGTTGTTATTAGCGTGTCTGTAGCATCGGAGTTTGAAGATAATTTTAAGCCTGCTTCGGGATTTGAGAAGTTATCTGACTCTGCCGAGTATATCGCTTTATTGGGTAAGTATGTCTATTGTTTCATGTTTTATATCTCTATGTATGTCTCTATGCTGAGACGTCAAAGGTTATCAGACATGAGTTCATAGGCAAAGCGAATTTCAGTTTCAATTAATAGTTTGTTCTGTGAGTATGTGTACATTGTTGCGTTTAAAAAATACAAATAAAATCGGTGAAAATTTGGAACAGCAAAATAATGTTTAGATATAAACATATACTATACCGAATTTATTCATAATATCTGTGATTTAAGGATTAATAATATTATAATTTTTCGTTACTTACAGAAAGAAAACTGAAAGCAGTTCGCTCAAAAAACAAAGTGGTTGAGAACTTGGCTGCCTACAGGGCTGATTGTATTGACCGTTTGATGAGAGACGGTTGTGACTTAGACCCTGTCATTGGAGACACTGAATCTGAGAAACTTCTTCAGGATTAAATTCTTGTTTTTTAAGAGCACCTTGTAAGTAAAAATGGCATCTTCATGTAGCATTGATTTATCTGGATCCACCTACTGTGTTGTGTCAGGCGCTTCACAGGGCATCGGCAGAGCAATTGCAGTTGAGGTGTCAAAACTTTTAGGCCCTAAATCCCTCATGTTGTTGTTGGCACGTAATGCAGTTGAATTAGCAAAAACAGCATCTCTGTGCAAGTCTAACAATGTCAATGTCATCTTCAATTCAATTGATTTGGGAAAGGCCTCTGAGAAAGAGATGAATGATGTTCTAAGAAAATCCTTAGATGGTTATGACGTAACAGATTTTGCTACCTGCCTAATTTTCCACAATGTGGGCTCCCTTGGTAATTTATCCATTAAAACTTCACAAATGGAAAATTGTGAGGAGCTAGGGCAATATTTTGATCTAAATGTGTTTAAAGTTATTTCGTTGAATACACAGTTTCTTAAGATTTTTGAAGCTGTTGAGGATAGAATTGTCATTGTTAACATAACTTCTCTGTGTGCCATCAAGCCAATGAGTGGTATGGCTTACTATTGTAGTGGTAAAGCAGCTAGGGAAATGTATTTTAAAGTGCTCTCAGAAGAGAAGAAACATGTTCGTGTGTTGAATTATTCTCCAGGCCCTGTTGAGACAGCCATGATTGATTATGTAATAAAGGAGGCTGTGAATGACAATCTTAAGGATGTTTTTAATACTTTCAAAAACCAAGGCACATTGTTAAAGCCAGAAATGACAGCTAAAAAATGTATGAAAGTTTTGCAAGCTGGCAAGTTTACCCCTGGTGAACATGTTGACTATTTTGATGATGAATGAACTGTTATTTAATTACAATAATGTTATTTAATTATGTAAACTATGTATGCTTAACTTGCAAAATTTCGCAATCATATCTCTTATGGCCTTGGTGTTGGTGTTGTCTTTAAGAATTATATTGTATGATGTGGCTATTCATTGTGCAATAACTATGTATGTGTTATTAAGATATTTGTGTAATTTTACATTCCTACTAACATTCTTTAAGCTCTAAATTCTAATCTTTATAATAAACATCGTAAAGTTGTCTATGAATGCAATTCATATTAACAATAAATGTTTGCTTCATTGAATTTGTGTTTTTAATGACCCTACTCTTTGTTTCTAGAATAATATGAGTTACATTCATATATTGTCACAGCTATTTTTTTGTTTTGCTATCTATTCAACCCTCACCTTATGATAATACCTTATCTGCAAGGGCTTTCGCATTTTGTTTGTTATGAATAATAATTATAGTTATAAAATTTACTTTGTTAACTATCTTTTTGATATTAAATAAGTATAAACAGTAAAGCTGCTACTTCAATATTCTTGAACCAATGTCTCCTTTTAAATAGTGATGAATATTTATAATTTTGACTAAAAAAATATCAAAAAGTAGTATATGTACATCTCTGATCATACTAAATAACTTAGAATCACAAGAGCATGCAGTTATTTTTTTCACAAACCTTAAAATTCACTGACATGGCACCAACACAGTATGTAGACATTAATTGCAATTTTTTTTATTTTTCTAATAGAACTGAATTATTAAAAACATGCCTGGAAGCGAGAAACTTCATTTTTAAACTTTAAAACATAATCCAATATTGTATTTGTAGTCATGCATAATAATTTCCAACAAGTTACTGTTGCTTAAAATTTTAATAAAATTCTTATGGCATATACATATTTCAAAGATACAATTAATATGTTTAAGGAAAAAATCCCGATAAACAATGTACATGCATATACAGATGACACATGTGAATGTTTAATATGTCTGAAGAGTAATTATTATGTAACAATATTTTATTTTTGAGGTGACAAGGTTCAATTTAAATAATTTCACTATGTTAATGAAGCAATTAAGGTTTGATGATAATAAGTTCAGACTACTGATTGTTTTACCTTAGAAAGTTAAATAAAAGTTTATTTTTCATATGAGAAGGAGGCAAAAGAGGTGGCAGTTCAACTGATGTTAAGCGATAACTGCCGCCTATTGACATTTGCAACACCCTTAGAGTTGCAGCTGTTTTTGCCACCTTTTAGTGGACCTTGGCTACCCCACTCACTAGATGAAACGCAGAAGTATTAGATATATTGTAAGTCTAAAGATGTGTACTTCTTACATAAAATACAAAATAGTGCCTTCTCACCAGAGCCCAAAAATTATTAAGTACAAAAATATGATCAATAGGAACAATAATTCATAAAAATATTGTTTGCTTTTTCCTTCATTATATATCTCATTGTGTACATTTTGTGGATTAAGAAAAATAAGTTTTCTTATGTTGTGATGTATTTATGTTTTTATTTCATAATTTTGCCCTTAGTCCTGAAGACTATATCGACTCAGTGCCCACAGAAATCTCACTTGTAATTACCTGAGTGCAGTTTATTATGATGCCTCTGTGGCGCATTTGTCAAGGCATTGGCTTCGGTGCCGCGGGTCGTGGGTTCGATGACCACACGAGACAACCATTTGTGTGACCCGCAGATGATTGTTTCAGATCTGGGTGTTTGTCCACATGAAATTTATGTATGCAGTATCCTTACGATACATGATAATTTTATCCTACAGTAAGGAGAATATTTAATAAAAAAGATTATATTTCAATATCAACCAATCAAAGGAAGACTCAAGCGGAACGGCTGTGACTCACTTTCGTAGTTGCGAATTCGGTGGCTGGAGTTATTGCCGCCTCACGCTGTCCACTCGAACAGGGGCGGGATGACTGCCGGCCGCAAGAGCCTCTTCATCTTCCTGATGAACCTCGCGTGGCGGTGCCGGTACAGCATGCCGCTGCTGCTCAGCGGCACGGTGGCGGTGCTGGGCCACGCGTGGATGTTCCAAATACGAGTGCACACCATGCACAGGCTTCACGAGAACGAGGTAAGTGGTACGCCGCGTCCATTTTGAACCGCCGAAGGTGTCTTGTTATAGTGGACACCACGATTACGCGAACGTAGTGCGGGGACGGTCTGAAGCAGTACATTTTGAACCGAAGGTCTCTTGTTAGAGTGGACACCACGATCAGGGGAACTTAGTGCGGGGACGGTCTGAAGTAGACCATTTTGAACCGAAGTTGTCTTGTTAGAGTGGACAGCTTGATTTGGCGAGTGGGGACGGTCTGCAGCACGATGGACTGACGACTTAGAAAGGGCTGCTCAGGACTAGCCCAGGACCGGGATAGTTGGAGCATTTTTGTGCGATGCTTTCATTCAGCAGTGCACGATTGACTTATGCTGTTGTTGTTGACGGTAGACCGGACCATGGTGGTCGACCCCGTCCAGCTTGGCAATCTACTCTTAGCTCAGGTGTGTTCGCAACCGCATCCCATATAGCACGACCGCCTGCGAGAACTGTTGCCTTTGCTGGAACTAACTGCGTTGCTTCAACTGTGGTTCCGGTTAGTCCGGGTAAGTACCACGACCTCACAGAGGACCGGCGTAAAGTGGAAGTATATAATACTTTCGCGTTTCGTCTGGTGAGTGAGGTGGCCGGAGCCCAATTTTCAACAGGTTGTCAACGCATCTGCAACCCTCGGGCGTAGCGGATGTCCATGGGCGGCGGTATTCACTTAACATCAGGTGAAGCGTCTGCTCGCTTGGCAACTTTTCACATAGAAGGGCCACGCAACAGTCTTCGCTTTCGCCAGGGACGGGCGGGTCCGTCCGGGCAAGTACCGTGACCGGCGTGGAGTGGTGGTGAGTGATGGTGAGTGAGGTAGCCGGGGCTCGCTTTACTAATGGCTGCAACGCATCTGCAACCCTACGGGTGTTGCAAATGTCCATGGGTGGCGGTTATCATTTAGCATCGGGTGAACCGCCAGCTCGCTTACCACCTTCTAACGTTAAAACTTCTTGAAGGTTCCCAGGTCGTAACGGTACCTGATTAAATTATTTTTTTAGGGTTCCGTACCCAAAGGGTAAAACGGGACCATATTATTAAGACTCCGCTGTCTGTCTGTGTGTCTGTCAGTTAGTCCAGACAGTTGAAATTTTCACAGATGATGTATTTCTGTTGCCGCTCGACATGATTAGACATGATTTTTTTTTGCCGTTTTTATAGAAACCCTTCGTGCGCCTTAGTCGCCGTTTTTGAATTGTTATATTATTTACAGTACAGCTTTATAAATCTTAGATTCACGGTCAACGCATCCGAAGTTTGCCCTTAGTTTTGGGTCCCTAGATTTCCTTCGAGTCCTGAGCAAGCTCCAAGTCTGTTTCTCACTTCCATTTCAGCTCGCATACTACGACGACGACGATGACCAGGAAGAGGACGAGGGATCTTGGGATACGGAGTCCAACGACTCCTGGGAGACCATAGTGGAGGAGGTGGCATACGGCTGATGACTATAGCCACCGCACGTCAAGTAGTATTAGGTTCGAATAGTCGCTTATTTCATTCTACGGTAACGTGCCAAACGTAAGAAGTACTGTCGCGTACGAAACGTATCTATGTTTTTCGGGTAATGTAATTCTTTTAAACTGTTACGTTCGAAACCATTTTGAGGATTTTAACGCGTTCCGGTCCGTTTTATAAATGGACTTCACGTTACTTTTTAAATTCGATGACGGCGTGATTTCGAATACAGGATTCACGGCAAGGATGGGAACCTTATAAAATTTTAATTTCATTTAGGAAATAACATATTTGAAATGTGTTTTTTTTTTGTAAATAAATGGTCGAAAACTTGCGGCAATACGCGGTCCAAAACGGCGCTTTCTGGGCGAATTAATTGGAAACATGTGCGCGCACTCGATACGTCAAAAAAAACTGCATACATGCGAGCGAAGAAGCGGGCAAAAAGCTATCTAATATATAAAGTTCTCGTGTCACGGTGTTTGTAATTGAACTCCTCCGAAACGTCTCGACCGATTTTCGTGAAATTTTGTGTGCATATCGGCCAGGGGACAACATCTGTTTTTCATCCTCCTAAATGTTAAGGGTGGTCCACCCCAAAAATTTTTGCTACCCTACAAATAATTTATATGGCTAAACAACGTTTGCCGGATCAGCTCGTTAATATATAAATGTCAGTTACGCCATACTATATAAAAGTGGTAATATGCCTTCAAGCCATACCATATAAAAGTAGTTACCATTAAGTTGAAGGCATATTACCGCCTTCAACTTGGTTTCCTATGAACTTTTTTTTCCATTTTAATGCCTTAGAGGAAAATAAAGTACCAATGTATCTGTTTACGAGATATAAAAAAAATTACTTAGACAGAAATTAGAGTCGGTGTGTCAACGTCGACAGGTTGACATTTTGTTTGCAACTGTTGTGTGTGTAGCTGATACGGGACACCTCCGAAACGCCAAAAAAACTGCATAGCGAGGGCTATATGAATAACAAGTTGTTTTTGTACATTTTCATATTAGCCATAGAAAACAAATTTTACTCATTTTCGTTAGAGTTTATTTCACGTCAACACTATTTAATTTAATTACTTAGAGGATTTGTAGAGTTGGCACGTATAAGGCTTGCGTGAAATCACAGACGTGTATTAGTCAATTAGTAACAGATATTTAATATAAAATGGGTATTAAACTACTAAAAAGACTCAATTTAACACAATGTCAATACACGCAGTTGTACCATTTATTTTTCTGTGCAGTGGGATAACACGATATGTTTACTCGTGTATTTTTTGTTACCTAACTTTAAGTTGTATGAAAATAATTATTAGATATTATATAAGACAATTACGGTGTCAAATATTTAAGTTGAATGGTTATATTATGATTTGGGCTGTGTTAGAAATAAAAAGGAAGCATATAAAAAGCAGCGTGTTTTATTTATAATATTATGGGTAAATTACGATTCGGTCGCTTTAGCCGTGCAAGGCTGTTGGAGTTGGAGAGTTCCTATTATAAAACATAGATGGCGCTTATTCAGCATCAATTTTAATATATTATCTATGATCGTTTTATATGCGCTCAAGGTATTAGGCACCTAATTGGGAGCTTATGTATTATGTCTCAAGACAAAAACATTTTTAGAAACGATTGAATGTGTATTTGTCCCTTAGGATCGATGAATTATCGAGTTAAAGGCAGAATACAGACTGGTTTGTACTGTCAAAGATGGATCGATAGATAGTGATGAAGATATAATTTAAATTAACTTTTTTATAATTATGGAAATCTCGTAGAAGATTTAAAATATTCTCAAGTATAACGCTTTCAACTGCTCGAAAATTAGAAATAGGAGTACGGTTTGCGGGCCTAGTTTCGTGTAGGTCGCCAGGAAACCGGACCACAGCTTGAGGGCCCCCTCGTTCCTGATAGTGGTCACCAGAACTCTAAACTGGCCAGTGCGCGCCGCAGCGTTCTGTACTCTGCGATAAAACATGTCTGTTTATTTATTAAAAATACAAAAATTAATATCGACTACAAAATTAATATCGACTACAAAATTAACGCGCGGTTTCTGAAACGTTGATCATCGTAAATGTTAACAGATCAGCTGTCAAATGGCTTTTCAAATTTCATTTCAGTTGCTAAAAGGATGGTTAAACTCTGAATTGATCATTCCGATCATTAAGAAGATCATTATGATCATTTCAGCGGAAGTAAAGTAGACACCCACTTTTGAATGAATCTGGTAATTTAACCCAATATTTGTGAAACCATAGTCCCACACAAAAATTCAAGCAATTTAATTTAATGTAAAATTTATAACGGTATTAAGGTTAATATAGGGGCGAAGAAATATTTTTGCCTTTGACCTTTCTTTACTTACGTAATGTTGAATAGTAATGTTCATTTTTAAATAAATGCGTTTACTCACTGGTATAGGTAGGTGTAAAATATAAAAATCTATGACATATTTCAAACCTCATGTGTATAATTTTTAGGCTAAAGTTATGAGTAATGAATTGAAGTTAGTTTCTATAGGTTTTCAGGCGGTTTATTGGTTTTCTCCAGTGTCAAATTAAAATAGGAAAATAATTAAGTGGGTTGGTTAAAATATTATGTCAATTTAATTTAAGGCTGTACCTGTCATTTTGAATTTTTGCTTAATTAGCCACAACGGGAAAAGGTAATCATTTTGCTGTACATCTCTTTCATCATTCGTTGATATGGCCCCTTTATAATTTACCTGGTTTTGACTATGTCGACTGGCAAATAGATGCATGTTGTGCAGAGGCCAGCTATCATGGCCGCCGCGAAGTGCACCTTGATTCCATCGTTGTGGCGCTCCAGTAGTTTCTCACGAGCCTGGAGCGAGAAAAGTTATTAAAAAGAATCCTATTCTATTAGAAAAGTTGGTAAGAGCAATCTGTTAAGCACCCGGTGTTAAGTGATCTTCGTCACCCATGAATATCTACAACTCAGGTAGGTTACAGATGCGTTGCCACTTTCCAACCTGTAAAAATGGGCCCGAATAACTCACTCACCAGACGAAATGCGAAAGTATAATACTTCTACCTCACGCCGTTCTTCTACGAGGCTGTGGTACTTTCATGGTACTTTCATGGCCCTACCACATCTGTGGATAGGATAGATTATCTAATCTATAGACTTTAACTATAATATTTTAGTTGTTTGTTTAATTGGTTTTAACTTTTGCGCTTCGTTTATTAAAAGATGGCAACGAATCTGCAACCCTACAGGGGTTGCAGATGCAGATTTCAACGGGCGGCGGTTATCCCTTAACATCATTTTAACTGCCAGCTCGGTTGCCACCTTCGGACAGTTAAAAAAAAACAAAAATACTATAAACACTTGTCAACAAGTGTGGCTAAATGAAACTATGTTGCGGATTTATCGCTACCTGGGCATATGTGCCCAACTGGACAGCGTTGACAATCATCGAACGCATCGCTGAGGTCTGCACGCCGCGGAAAAGCGTGAAGAACCCTTCCTCTCGAGTGATCCTGACGAAAATAGAACAGAAATGTAAAAAAAAGGAACTAAGCATGATTTAACTTGAGGATTAAAATCATGCACGTCAGATTCCTTTCGCTAGAAATATATAGGTAGGGATAGCTAGTAACTGAACACCTTTCGTCTTTTTTAGAGCTTACCTCTATTCTAATTTTTTTAATATTTTTATACTTATTTAAAATTGTATATATTGTACAATGTATAAAATTAGAGTTGGGCGATTTGTGGGGGCTTAATTTAACCAGTGGTGTTTAAAAAGGTATGATGATAAGCAGGTACCAGTGAGGTAGCCGCGGCCCACTTTATTTAATACTAGCAACGCATTTGCAACCCTACGTGTGTTGCGAATGTCCATGAGCGGCCGTTATCACTTAACATCAGGTGAACCTCCAGATCGATTGCCATTTTCTTTCATAAAAAAGGTAAACGCTCAGTATCATCGAAGATAATCACCTAGAAGGGGTCGGCATGACATGTGAATCAAATCGAATTGTGAATCAATAAGTTAAAATAATTGGTTTTGGCTAGGTTTTACCTACTCTACTTACCTTAGTCTCTTACCGAGTAGGTACTATATCGTATTAGTCCGCGACAGAAATCATTCCGAAAACTTTGGCACTACCACGATTTAATAAATACAAAGCGATGTCACGTCTCATCGCAAACACACAGCCGAAAAAAGAAGATTCTAGCGGCTCTACGTTGGGTGCTGTCAAATGGAAATAATAACCGACCACTGCCCAACTTTCTGGAGGGGAATTCTTCCAGGATCATCTCGGTGAATGGGACTCCGGGATATCCTAAGGTACGCAACGGGACTGAGCTTGTCACAAGATGCTTTGAGACTTACCTGGCTATAGCGTTGAACACGTTCCTGTAGTTCCTCCTCAGATCGGCAGGAAGCCGTCCATCTGCCGTCATCCGAACCAGCGCCACTTCAGCGGGGTTCCCGATAATGGCAGCCATGCCACCAGACACGGAGGCGATGCCGAGTTTCGTTGGGAAGCTCGGCGGACCGACAGAGCTGCAATCACACTCGTTTTGGAATCCTACTGACGCTCATCTCTTCTCTCTCGAGCTATTCTCGCTGGTTTGTGGCTACTGTATCGTGTTTCAAAATTATTGGAGGGCGAAATGAAGGTTTTCGATCACATGTGAGGCATTTAGTTGGTTTATAATCTAAGTGTGCTTCGATAACGTAGATATCGATCTCGTGAGTCGACTGTGGTAGAGACACATCATTCATTCGGGGAAGAATGTTGTCAACTTATCTGCATTGTGGATATTTATAAACGGCGGTAATCACATTACATCAGTAGAGCCGGCTGCTCCCTTACCAACTAAAAGATCTTGCGTTTCTCTGTAATAGAATGTACCCTAATTTTCCTTCTTATCTCTTATCCTTTAAACGAGCAATTCTTGTATATATATATGAATGAATGAAATTTAGTACGTTCGTAGATGCGGAGGCGAAAAATCGATCTAGCTAGGTTTCATTTTTAGAACATGTCCTTTTATCCCTGTTTTCAGGGAATGAAAAATATCATTTGAATATGACGGTAAATTTCGCCGCAAAAAAAAATATTATAACAGCTGGGTCGTAATCGGGCGGCCCCAAAACAGCCGGGGTTCGGGACGATCAATTACATACTTATTTTTTTTATTTTTTTTTCTATGCCAGATCATTTTCTTTATTTTTTTATTTCCAAAATACATGATTTACCAAAAAAAAAAATCGAACAAAACTACTTGATATTACAAAGGTACTTGATATTTATGCGATAATTATATCGATTCTTTGCTCGGGAGTTATGGGCACAGGTATGGTCATACTTTCTCATATTATATTGTAGTAGGTAGATAACCAGAGTGTATAATTAGAGTTTGATAGTAAAATTTAATTGTGCATGTAAACTGTAGTAGACCTCAGCAGCTTTTGGCTAGTGGCCTGACTCGACTGTCGGAAGTGCGACTCGACACCAGACAAGCGTTTGAAGCTTAACCAGTCTCTTATAACCTTTTCCTCTTTTATTGCATTTCGTCGTAGAGTAAGGTATCATCAGACCCCGCCCAAGCTTGGCAGTACCTGTGACACGTCTGTAGAGCCGCTCGCTCATCATTCATTCGCCATTATTTTGGGATTAAGGAATGCAAGAGACACTCGCGACTGAACGTAAGCCTCCCCCAAATTGCGCCAACTAGCCCGGTCCTCGCAGTCCGCACTGGACGGAAATAGGCTGATATTGTATTGTACTCGCGACTACCTCTTGCGATTGTCCATAAGGGTGTTGAAGAAGCCCAGACGGCTGGTTGTGTAGGTCGCCTGCCGGCACAGAGCCGCGGACAGCCCTGCGTAGAGGCCTAGCACTCCCTCCTTGGCCACTATTCGCTCCGCCACCACGAACGTGGACAGCTTGACCTTGGGCGCCAGAAGTTGCATACGGGTCTTGAGCAGGTCTGCCGGCTGGACCACGGCCACTGCCATCATGCTGAGGACACGTTTATTCAGAAGCATCGTCCACTACTCAGTCGAGGGCCGCATTATCACGTATATACATAAATCTTTTGTGGTAGAGAAGGAGCGCAATGCGATGGACTTTTGTAATTTCCCCCCAAAAGTGGGTTTGATTATAAGCCACTGGCAACATGCTGAGGAGTGAGTACACAGCGCGTTTGTTCATCCACGAGCATCCTTCTACTACTTAATCGAGGGCCGCAATATCATACAGATATAAATCTTTTGTGTTAGATGGAAGGAGAATGCGAAGACCTTTTTTCCTTTCCGCCCCAAAATAGGTCTATCAAATTATAAATGGTATCCTTTTGTGTTGCTGTGTTATTTACGATTCAAAGCGAAAATATACTGTACTCGGTGCAAGATATACGGTTACTGAATTTCTTAGATAATAAACTAGTTTTATATTTTATACTTACCCGCTAGCGCCTCCAAGAACAAAATTCGCCAGCCTAGGAACAGTATTGGGCGGCAGCGCTTGTTTGTCTGCCATGTTTTAAAACTGAGGATTTTCAAGGAATCAATTGAAACGTATTTTTTGTGTACTGCACATTATCTGAATGTTCAATTCAACTCATTTTTATGATAAATTAGATTTTATACAGCGCAATTGTAGATTTTATAAAATTTTGTAGTGTTTAGTACATGTTGACGTAACATTTCGTTCTATCAGAATTGACGTTTTTGCTTGTATGACATGCCTATTATTGTTACGATTGATACAAGCCGAGAATAATCTATTATTGTCTGCATATTGTGTATGTAAATAAAAATCTTTGGCAATCTTTAATCGTATTCTTAAAAGTGGTGGGCAGTTGTAAACACTATGATCAAACAGAATTATCGTAATTTTGGGCTATTGACCTGTGATAGCTCTGTGTCCAGGAGCACACTTTTAACGCTTTTAATTCAATATACTCGAGTAACCCGAATTCAAATCCCTGTTGCAGCACCATTGAAATTGTTAATTTATTTAATTTCGATACTGATTTAACACAACTGTTACATTTGTTTAATATAAATTATATAGACTGCTCTAGAAAGCAATTATAGTCAATTGCTTTCTAGAGCCCACGCAAATATCTTACAAGCAACCGAAGAGTTTTCAACTTATTAACTCATAAAAATTAAATGTTTGTCGAACTTTGCTATATTGAATATCTATCCACTTTTGTTGTATTTTCAGTAATTTCTTAGCTTCGAAACCCTTGCAGCGTTGAAAATTTGCGTGTATACATGTATGTATATAACATACTTGCATTAAAATAAGACAAACGTTTAAAATATTAAGAGCATATATTTCTGTAAAATATCAATACATTTGTATACATCTAAAATATTATTCACCACTCCCAGACCTCCGTGACGTCCTGTTCCACTTGAAAATGTCGCCTAAAACAAATTGCCAAGTAAAATTTTCGATACTCATTTACCATAAAACAATATAAAAAATACTTATTAATTAATATTATTGCTAGCAATAGATCCTCATAAAGAACAATGTAATAATCCGATATCTAGAACACGACGAACTTTCCACAGCCAGAATAAGTAAAGGAAAAGTTAAGCCTATAAGACATGTCTGATTGCAGAACAAAGCCCACGTCTATACTGAGTAAAGTAAATGTAATTCTTGCATGTTGTAACGACCTTTTAATAATGATTAATCACAATAAAGGTCGTCCAAGTATTTTACAAAACCTAAAAATATTAACCACAGTACGTTATTAACCTATGAAATTGCCGTTCTTCAATACTGGTCATTTCAAATAAAAATATTTGATTGGCTTTAAACTCTACATTATATTTATATACACCATCAATAAATACCCATTGCGTTGGCATCGATTGAATCGGTGATTACTTTGAATAACAGAAATTCAAAAGTTTAAAAAATACTTTAACTTATTTCATACAAAACTGCAATTTCATATGGAAAGACCTAATATATAATTATACTCTTACTAAAAAACCGGCCAAGTGCGAGTCGGCCTCGCGCACCTAGGGTTCCGTACCATTATCTATAAAAACTCCAAAAACATATTTTTTGTGTGCGAGCCCCACTTAAGTATTTTTTACTCCGTTTTTTAGTATTTGTCGTTATAGCGGTCATACAGAAATACATCGTCTGTGAAAATTTCAACTGTCTAACTATCACGGTTCATGAGATACAGCCTGTTGACAAACTGACAGGCAGACAGCGAAGTCTTAGTTATAGGGTCCCGTTTGACCCTTCGGGTACGGAGCCCTAAAAACGTGAAAATCGGGTGGTTACCTGCGTGGTGGAGGCGTCAGGGGGGAGGCGGGTGGGGTCCGTGACCGTCCGGTCGCCTGGCGGCGGGACACCTCGCCCAGCAGGCAGAGGCAAGAGCGAGACAGGCGCTGGTTGAAGTTCTGCGAGGGCATAATGTGAACGTGGTACACGTGGCCACGCGACATTCTCCGCTGTTGCACGAATGGGCAGGTCCCTCCGGAAGTAATTTCATTTAGCTCACAGAAGACCGGCGTGAAGTGGAAGTGGTAAGCTTCTGCGTTACGTCTGGAAAGGTGGCCGGGGCCCACTTCGTTTAAAGGTGGCAACGCATCTGCAACTCTAGAGGCGTTGCAAATGTCAATGGGCGGTTGGCACTTAAAATCATGTGAACTGACAGCTTGCTTGCTACCTGACATAAAAAACCATGCTCTTTAAGAACCGTCAATGACATCGAAACAACGAAGCGTTTTTAACCGTTGTTGGACGCGAGTATTTTCTGATGGAAGCCAAGTCCACCCGCATATTTGAAGCGCAAGCGTCTATTTGAATAAAGATATTTTTAATTTCAATAAAGGTCTAGAGCACATCTTATTTTAACATTGCCCTTATTTTAGGACAACATTGTCCTGGGTTGTAAGAACATTTTAAATACATTTACTGTGGTAGGTCTACGCAACAGTGTTCGCTGTTGCACAAATGGGCAGGTCCGTCCGGGTTAGTACCACGACCTTACAGAAGACGGGCGTAAAGTAGAAGTGTTGCACTTCTGCGTTTCATCTGGTGAGTTTCATCCGGGGCCCACATTATTAAGAGGTGGCAACGCATCTACAACCCTGCGCGTGTTGCAAATGTCCATGGGCGGCGGTTATGACTGAACATCAGGTGAACCGCCAGCTCGTTTGCCACTTTCTCAAATAAAAAGAAAACCTTACATTTCATAGGGACAAACACGCAGATCCGAAGCGATTGTCCGAGGGTTACAGAAATAACTGCGCCGCGTGGAGAAGAATAAGAAATATCGCTGGCGACGGCTGTTTCCACGACTAGGTTGGGCGTGGCAACAAGTTTCGTGACAAATACACAGACTGCCAACCGTCGAAGTAGGAGCGACGATATTTCGCAGTTCGACACATTCTACGGTGGTTAAATTCTGCAGCAACAACCAACAACAACCATTCAACCGAACAACTCTTCAGGGTCTACTTTGGAGGAGCGAAGCATCGTGCAGTTACCGGTAGACAGGAGCCCCTCATCTCGCGTAGATCGATCTTACGGAATAGCTCGCAGAGTAATAGCTCGTGCAGGCTGGGCGTGCGAGCGCCGAATATCTGCTCAATGATGTCCACCACCTGATGGACAAACCAAGATCCTTCGTATAACAAAACTGATTCTCTAATTGTTATTATTCTGAGAAACAGAGTTGGTATACTCTATGTTTAACACGCTTAAAACTTTTATGTGAAAATTATTAATTTTACTGACAATCCAAAAACATTTATCGCGGGCAGTGTTCCGAGGGATTGTTTACATTGATCCCGGCGCTGAATTTCACCATCGGACATCGCGCCAAGACCAGAAGTTTCATCCACGTCACTTCGATGTCCAGCGTTCCACAACAGCGCGAGTTTCAAGGCACTTCCCGCCTCGCACAACCACTTTGTGGAACCAGCTGCCTCCGGCGGTCTTTCCGAACCGTCACGGACTGGGAACCTTCAAGGAAAGAGCATATACTTTCGAGAACTAAAAATTAATACGTTCGTAAGTTACCACCGGTTCGGAAAGCAGTTTCTGTTGACAAGAGACCGGCAAGAAACTCAACAGTTGCTCTTTTTTTAAAACGATTCGGTTACAATATAATAGCACACGTATATGTCTTATTTTAAGCTTGCGTGAGTATCAACAGTATTAACTCCACACATTGGCGTCGTAAAGATATTCCGCAGTGGTATAATATGCCTTAGCCATAAGTTCACTTATAATTTTGCGTTTAAGTTGATCAACAGGTAGACTTAATGTCGACTGTTGCGGATGTTCGTGGGCTGTTCTCGACTCACGTGGGGGTAATCGTGGGCGAGGTCCGCCAGCATGGCCATGTTGGTGTCCGCGGCGGCGCACATCTCGAAGAGCACGTGGCCCAGGGACAGGGTCTCCGCGTGCTCCGGCCCGCTGACCAGCAGCAGGGGGCACCGCGGCAGCGCACCGATCAGGGTGTTCTCCAGGCCGCATATCCTGCCAGGGGACTTTCAACTTTACCGCTTCGTGATTAAAACGCTTTTAATTAAAACGAATCGTCGGTCGGGGTTAGGCGTCGGGAGCTGGGAGGATCCAAGTTGGTTGCTAAGGAAGCCCAGACTCTTGTACCTCGTCGACCGTAAACTTCGTTACGGTTGTTAGTTTGGTGGAGGCGTAGACTATAATAGATCGTATAGGTCGCGAAGCGGACTGTTTGGGCAATAATGGAAGTTGCGGCTAGGCTGTGGTCTCAATAGTATATATAGTGTTGCCATTAAGACAACTTATTTGCGGATATAATCATCGGAGTATAAGCACTTTATTGTCTTTCCATCGTAGCACTTACTTTATGTCTCTGTCATTTTCAATCTTTTTTTTTTTTTTTATGCGAAAAGTTGTCAAACGAGCAGACGGTTCACCTGATGTTAAGTGAATACCGCCGCCCATGGACATCTGCCACACCCGAGGGTTACAGATGCGTTGACAACCTTTTGAAAATTGGGCTCCGGCTACCTCACTCACCAGACGAAACGCGAAAGTATTTGTCATACTTCCACTTTACGCTGGTCTTCTGTGAGGTCGTGGTACTAACCCGGACGGGCCTGCCCAGTCGTGCAACAGCCGAGGCTGCTGCGTGGTCCTACCACCGTTGAAAATAAATATATCTTATATATAAAAATGGATTGCTGTTCGTTAGTCTCGCTAAAAGTCGAGAACGGCTGGACCGATTTGGCTAATTTTGGTGTTGACATATTTGTGGCAGTCCAGGGAAGTTTTAAACGATGAAAAATTTAAGGAAAATCGAAATAGCAACAATTTTATTTTCCCATACTAACTGTAAGTACCTATCAATCTGTCAACTATGTCTTTGGCGTTCCGATTCGTCTAGAATTAATTTATATGGCAAAACAACATTTGACGAGTCAGCTAGTTATCTTATATATTTATCTTCCTTGAAAATAAATATATACAGTGTTTTAGCAGCGGGCACAGAATATCTCAAATTCTTAGTAGCCTTCATCTGAACAAGAATCAAATTAAACCAAATAAATGACCATTTTTGCGCGACAAAAAGTTTTGCTATTGATTAATTGTATTTTGAAGAATCGCTTCAGTAGAGGAGACATAAAATGTTTTACCGCGCGACGCCATTTTGGATGACCACGTTGCCGGAGTGCAGGTGCCGGAATGGCGGGAACCCCTTCTCCTTGAGGAACAGCAGACCTTCCAAAATCTGGCGGCCGAATGTGGCAACCTGCCACGCGGGAAGTCCTGTGCCGCTCTGGTTGTATTTCTTCGAGTACTCCTCGTGCCAAGTGCTCTGTGGTACAATATTGTTAATTCTATACACTTTCATCGCTTGTTAAATAAAACTGTTGTGATATTTAAAGACATTTATTCAGTCACCTAATTAATTATACAAAACTTAAATATTAAAATTACAAAAATATTATACAGCGTGTCTTTACAATCACGACAATAAATGAACACACATATAGGGGATAACTTTTTAAAATTGTATTAAACATTAACATGGGTTGAATGAATTTAAAAGAGACAAAACATACTGTTAGAAGGAGAGGCTTGTAATACGACGCTGTGGCGCGAGTTGTATAGTTGTATATGTTACAAATTTTGTTTCTTTTTTACTTAATTAGTTTGTTTGAAAATTATTTTTTTTAATCATGGATTTTGTTTAACGTTAATATTTTTTTATGATTATTAACAAGTAGCGTTAGACGTGTGTTCATTTAACGTCGCGATGGTAACGACACGCTGTATAATTAAAACACAGAAAAAAAATAGAGTTAACATAAAAAAAAAGAAAAATATTACAAAAAAGAAAAAAATGTGTTAAAACAGTTATAATAATATTGTGCCTAATATATTTTTTTTTCTATTCTAGAGGCCAAACTTGTTATTGTGAAAATGTTAAGCGAGCTGGCGTTTCACTCGATGTCAAGTGAATACCGCCACCCATGGACATTTATAATACCTGAGGATTTGAAGATGCGTTGTCGATCTTTATATAAGGTAGTTTGTAGGGCCACGCAACAGCCTTCGATGTTGCACGAACGGATAGGTACCACGGTCCACGACCTCACTGAAGACCGGCGTGAAAAGAAAGAGTTATACTTAGGCGTTTCGTCTGGTGATAATATCTGAAAAGTGCCTTCTATATAAAAAAATAAAGGATAGAGACAGATCCCAGATGATTAAAAACACAGATTTATACTGTTCACTTGAACACCTCTTTCGATTAATAAAAACAGGCCAAGTGCGAGTGGGACTCGCGCACGAATCGTTCCGCGCCATTATCTATAAAAATGACAAATATATATGTGTCAAATATGTCTGTTTATGGGATCCCCATTGTTTTTTATTATTTGTTGTTATAGCGGCAACAAAAACACATCGTCTGTGAAAATTTTAATTGTCTAACTGTCACGGTTCATGAGATACATGCTAGTGACAGACGGACAGACAGACAGATGAAGAAACACACAGAGGAGTCTTAGTAATAGGGTCCCATTTACCCTCTGGTTAAGGACACACAACATTACTGACAACATAAATATTACTACATCATTTCCAAGTCTTAAACAACAGTAGACCTTATATATCAAGTCCTTCAAGCTGCCGCGGGGGTTGAAAGGCAGTATGGTAAGAGCGTGCCCGCTGCAGAGCTGCAACTCCAACACTGGGTAGATGTAGGGATGATGCAGTGCACGGAACAGCTCGACAAGCAGCTCCCGGGAACGTTCGCTGGGCTCGATTGGGCACTTGCTCGTCAAGGGCACCTGAGTGGGGAATAAAAATGTACAGTCAAAGTTTCTATGTTTATGGAATTTTCCAAATTGTTATGATCGTTATCTGCGTATGGTTCAAAAATATTCAATATTTCGGACAATATACATGACATGGTAGGGGCACATTATGAGAAGGGATGAAGTTCACGTGACTAGAATAGTAGAATATGAATGTGGTTGGAGGGTGCATAGCTATAACTTCCAAATGTTTGTGAAAGAGGTCAGTATTGAGAGGACGGCTGATAGAGGTAAGTGGAAGGAAAGGAAGGGTTGTGCCGACCTCACATAGTGGGAAATGCGCAGGGGAAAGAAGAAAAATAAATTTATGAAATTAAGTATTTGAAGGTTTCTTACCAACGACATCAATCTATCGGCCTTGATGGATTTGTCGTGAATTGCGAACCAGTGCTTGTACGGACGCGAACCTATTGCCCCCAATTGCGACTTAAGGTCGTACCTGAAAAATATGCCTTCACACTGATATCCATTTTCTTCTTAAGACGCCAGTTATAGCATGTATTAAATTAGTAAAAGGCAGGTCCGGATTTAGGGGAGGGCAACCGGGGTTACGGACCCGGGGCCTCCACAAAAGCGGGGCCCCCACAATAGACTTCGGAAAAAAAAAATTCAAATTCAGACTAGTAAATACTAGTGAACAACTTTTCCTTTCATATTTTTTTTCGCGTTTTACCTCTACCTACAGTACTTTGTACAAACATGATTACATTAAATATTAACAGAAAGCAATGGAAAATAATTTGAGGCCAAGGGGCCTCAACTCCTTTGTTGCCCCGGGACCTCTAAATCTGGCCCTGATAGGAGTATAAAAGTTTGCGTAAATTTAACAAATTTGAGATTTAATGAGCTGCTCCTTTTTCTGAATCATTAAAAACTTAAAAGAAAGCGCCTTACCTAGAAGTCTGTGATAGATACTCGGTGCAGATAGCTAAGGCAACTGAGCTCTCAAAAGACCTCTCCCCAGTCCTGTTTGTAAAAAAATCCATTGATGGCTCATTTTTCTTATTTTTTGTGCAACGTATGTTTGTCATCACAAATAGCATCCGAAATTGTAACGTAAGAGTTCGATTCATACTTAGAATAGAATAGAATAAGAAAAACTTTATTGGTCGTACACAAACACCGTTTACAAAAATAAAAAAAGAGAACAAAATAACAAATTTACATATAAATACAAGTAATAATTTTCATAATATTATTACTTACGTAATGTTCATGAACCGATGCCATATACGTTTGTAAAACGTCTTTATGTAAATCGTACACTAAGGCCAATATTAAAAAAAAAAACTAAGAAAATATTGATAAAATACGAATTTGGCTGTTTTATAGTCTTCAAAATAGCCAAATTGCTTACTTTGGTGAGGATGCTGGTTCAGAAGGCGATGACTTGCCGGAGCTGCTGGCCATAAGGGATTTGTTGAAAAGCAGCTTGGCCAGAGAGTCGATCTTCTGTGCTACAAGCGGCGTCCGGTCCGTATTCTCCTCTGCAAGTTGCAAAGAACATCAACGCGCTAAATCGGGAGTATTTAAAAATACTAGTAGTATCCCATTGTTCGAAATACATTATTAAATTTAATATTATTTCTCTCCGATTTATTCGGTAAATTTGACATATTAAGATATGGTCGCGCCTAAGAAATATACGAAAACAAATTATTTACTGAAGTTTGCTATTAAATAACGTCAGGGCAACGAAAAACTACTTCCTAAATAAAAATTTATATGACGGTAGGTGTTAATTAAACAATTTGTTCGAACGTTATCCATCTTGTACTTTTCAATTCAGACTTACCGAAGCAGCGCCGTCGAGCAACACCTAATTTTGTACTATAACGATCTTTTATACAATATAAGTTTTTCAAAGTTTCAATTTGTTTGAACTTTCAATATGTCCCTATGAGACAAGATATGTTGCGTCAATAATTGCTCTGTGTTGTATTTTGTATTAACTGATGTTTTTGCTTTCAGTCCCGAGACTATTAAAGCATCATCTGATCCAGAACCGGTGAGCTGGCCAGAACCCACGGGTTTTGGCCCTCCGCTGTGGGTGGGGCCGCGCATGTGCTCATGCGTGCGTTTAACTATGGTGTGTCATCTAAGGGTCATCGAGGTCGCGGCTCGGACCGGACGGATGAGGTTTCCCCTCAAAAACTGAAATTCTTCAGCACGTGCTTCGTAAACGATCACGTACCTTCGCTCTCCTCGCGGTCGGTGGAAACGGAGCGCATCTTGAAGGCGTTGCGTTTGTTCGCCGCGGCGATCGACTCTGGGTTCAGCTCGGCCGCCGACTGCGCGCGTCTGCAGGGGCGACGCTGCTTCTTCTTGTAACTGGACCTCGAGCGCTCCTGGTAGAAGCGGTCGTGGCCCGTGGTCTCGGACTCCCGTTGCTGTTCGCTGTTCGCCTTCAGGTGCTGGTAGAGGTTGAACATTCTGCGCCTCGGAACTAGACCTAGACCATACACTGTTCACTGCACTGGTAGGACGACACTTAGAATCTCTTCCCTCGCCGTCACCGTTCCAACGTTACCGGTCAGCGGACAGCGTTGTAACAGAACGTCCGTAGAGGCTAATTGAAGACCCGCAAGTCGCGGTATTAGCGGCGCGCCGATCGGAGCGGCGCAGGCCACGCGTTACTCGATACACAACAAACGTGTGTGGCAGACGAGATGGGATTAACGAATTATGCCGCTCGATGTTCTTTTTTTATGTAAGAAGATGGCAAGCGGGCTGGCAATTCACCTGATGTACCGCCAATAGAGATTGGCAACACCCGCAGGATTGCAAATGCGTTGCCACCTTTAATACGGACGAAGGTTGCCAGTGAGGTAACAACAGGCGAAACGGGTAAATATAACACTTCCCGTTCTGTTGGGTCGTAATATTCCACCGGACGGACCTCTTCACTGTTGCGTGGCCCTGTCCTCGATGTCCTAGACGTCCGCAGTTGTTGATTTCTTGCCTGCCCTTTTAGGTAGGTGGTGTAGGTCTAGAATGTAGGTGTGGATAAATCGGTAGGTTAAATTAAATTATAACGATGGAGTCGACGCACGCTGCAGCGATTAAATAAGTATTAGGACAATAACATTTATATAAAAAAAGGGTGCGTGTACTTATGTACACGCGTTAGTTATACCTCTTCGGCGTAACAAGATAAAAATCTTTTCAAAAATTTTACCTTTCGCCTTATTCTACGTTTGTAGAAAAACGACACTAACGAAAAAAAATGGATTTAATACATTGGAAGTTTTATTATAACGTATTATCTAGTTAAATAAAGTTTATTTAAATATCACAATATAAAAATATCGTGAATACAGATCTCTAGCTTCAGGGTGTCGGTTTTTCAAGACGGTGTGCGCGCGCATCGGAAAAATTTACTCTCATCATTTTTCCCTAACGCGCCAAAATAAGTATAACTTCAAAAACATTTGTCGAAGATGTCTTTTTCCACCATAATTCGCAACTGAAGTCTTCTGAAAGTGTCTTCAATTTCTGAAGGTTGCCGAACAGCAGAACAGCTGATTGTACCTCCCTGAACAGCAACCAAATCGGATCGTACTATTTTGTTGAATCATACACTACTATTTGGTTACCAGGGCCGTGATAGCTCAGTGTCCGGGCGCTCGCCTTTAATTTTTAACTTTAAGTGCTGACTTAACACGTGCTCCGCGGTGAAGGAAAACATCGTGAGGAAACCTGCATATTTTCGAAATAATAACAAAAAAAATTCGAAGATATGTGAAGTCCGCCAATCCGCAGCAGTGGGGCCGCGTGGTGGACTATGTCCTGATACCCTCTGTACAGAGGAGGCCTTTGCCCAGCAGTCGGACATGTATAGGCTGTTACTTTAATATTTAGTTACCAAGAATATTACACCACCAGCATATATTCTGTTTCAACATCCGCGTAGCAATACAAGTGTATAAAACGTTATGAATTAGAATGTAAATTAAAAGAAAGTGCAAGAAACAATTGCATATAATTTACTAGTGTAATTTACTAGAGTAAGTAACCCAAGGAAAATTTAATACAACTCGATTCGACACCTCACTCAGCTGTTAATCGCTGAATAGTAGGGGACCACACTACCACTATCTAGGGTACAATAGTCACTTCCATATAAGAACGTCGCGCTATAATTTCGGTCGACTAATAGAATTAGACGCAAAGCGATTTGTTTAAACCTACTTGAAGGACATAATTTCATATATACCTACTAACGCATATAATCAAAACAACTGTTTTACAGGTGATCAGTAATTTGTAACCATTTTCGAAATTCAGAAATCCTCTACATTTAAAGATAATGGTAGTCTCTACAAAGTATAAAACATAATAGTTCCCGATGACAAATGCTAAAAAAAATGTAGATAAAAGACGTTAAGATTTTCGTCGGTGTGGCAATCAGCCGTTTAGCTTAGTAGCTAAAGCGTCAGGCCGCGAATGCCGAAGACGCCCACAGCGGCGACTTCGTACTTTTTCTACAAGTTTTAATCAAGTTTAATCTTAAGTGCAGAGATGAGCACTATAAAAAACTTTAAATTACGTATCTGATTTTGATGCTGTTTTCAGCATTATACAGTGATATAGTGTAAACAGTGATCCAAGCGGAAGGTTGATATGTAGTAGACATGCATAGTATAGTTGAGAAACCGAAAAATCTTTGAATCTTTGTGGAAACTGGCTAAGAAATTTCCTATATGCATAAATAATAAATAAAAAAAAGGATGATAAACGCATTGACAGGTCGAGACGACAATTTCGTTATTATTACTAAACGAAAACGGAAAGGAAGCGGACGCTGAATGGGAGCAGATAATTTAATCATTAATAATTTTATCGCACGGCAATCGCCCTAAAATTCTACTCTGTCTAGGCTTCTTATAGATATTACGTTCGCATGTTTTTCGGTAAAAATCTTTGAAGTATTTTCAGGTTAGATTGTAGGAAGTTTTCTATGGTACTGCTACAAATTCGGGTGCTTCGCAAAATGATACTTTCAAGTTAAAACCATTAAAACCTCAAATGTGCACATTTATGCAAGCGTTTTTAATATGTATTACTCAAGAAATTGGATCGTCTTTGGTTTTTATCCGAGATCGTGTTTGGCAATTATAAATAACATATGGATCGTGAATTATATGTGTAATGGCATGTTATTATATATGTTCGACATATGTCGCAGTCATAAGGCTTCCATACGTCTAGATCTATATAGACACAGTATAAGTACACCTTGAAATAAAAAAATAAAGGGCAGCGCGTAAATCGTTTATAGAATCAGAGGCGCGTCGCTTGCCGGTAATGCGATTATGGCAACATCGGAACTATAACATAACATAGGTATGTGTGTACGGGTTAGAAAGACTTGTAAAAATAATTTTCTTGGTGGGAAACTTGAATGATATACTAAAAACGCAGTCTTTCCATATCTTTGCATTTTGTTAAAGTCATTGTGGGGTATCGCTATTATATATTATATAAATGCTCATGCTAAACAACATAATCCTTTGAAATTTTAGTAATAGTAAGATTAAAATAAATTCCGCTCGTTTGGATGTAAATGTTACCGAATAAAACTCAAATATGTGAACAAACGATTTTTATTAACATTCTCACGCTAATATTAGTCACAAATAAAAAATAAATAGCCACTATAAAAATATAGATTTATCAAATTCGTAACTATATTATATCACATGGAGCATGTCTCCTTTCTCGATGGAATTGTATAAGTATTGAAAAGTTGCAAGTATTTTAAATACAATGTCCATGTGAAATGGCGCGAAAAACAACAAAATCCGATGGCACCTCACCACAGATAAAACAAACCACAATGTCTGAAAATGCAATCTAATGCGAACTAATAATTTAATATCTCGTAAATACAAAAAAATAAGAGACTACAACATGTGTAACGGCAGCGACATTAATTTTATTTATTCATTTTAATACATGTCCTGAAAATAATAAAATTGATTTAATTTCTTGCTTAATTTATAAAAAAAGTTTAGAACGGTGTCTTTTAGACACTACGTCTTTGAGCGTGTTTAGTTTTTTTCGCTAAATGTTACGACGACCTCAAATTATTACCACAAAACTCCAGCTATTTTTATTAAGCAATCACACCGATTAATTGTAGCGTAAAGAAAAAGTTGTAAATGTAATAAAAAAAAATAATGTGCAGAGAAATATTTGAATTCCTTGTTTTATAGTTGTTAAAAATCTAGCACCAATATATTAAAGTAATATTTAAAAACAAATTTTAAGCCTGATCGCAGCAAAAGTTGAGAGGTATGCTATACTTTAAATTTAACTGAGCGCACAGAATCCTGACCAACCAAAGTACAGATCAAAGCCTCAATCGATAAATATTGCTTATTCAAAGCATTAGAATTCCACATTTACTGCCATTCCATCAATAGCTAATTATCAAAGGTTGTATGTTCCTTCTACAGAACATGAAAATAATATTTTTATTTAAAAAAATGCATACCACTCCTTCGCAATACGATCCGAAAACAAACATGTATGGAATTTATCACAAACTCTACAAATGATATTTTTTTTACATTTAATGCATTGTACGAGAAGTTATTAATGTAATCATACAATATTAAAGATACATAAATTAAATGATAAAATTTTTAAATATATAAAAAATTAATCATAATACACTTTTATTAATTTGTATCTAAATTTCTACTTTATTACATTATTAATTGTCATCCGTAATATTGTGTAGTTGCATAAGCACTGAAAAAAGCAAGCAAATAAAAACGGAAACCAAAAATGATCGTACTTATCTTCTTGTTGGCAACACAATATGGCTACATATAAAAGGAACTATCAAAAAACAATGGTTCGTAACAAAATTCATTGTTAAGTCGAAAATGTTCATTTTCGCTTTCGATTAAATCGAAAATAATTAAAATATAATTATATATAAATATATAAGAATCTACTTAAAAAACTGGATAACGTAGTTGTCTATGGTACCGTTAAATAGCAACACTCTCGCATACAAGACTTCATATTCGCGTATTCTAAATGCACGTAACGAGTAATTAATTACAGTTCGATACGTGTCGTGTATGGGTTACAAATAACACTATCAGTATCTGTTCTTGTCATATAAAAATACATATAAACATTGTATATGGTACAGAGTGGAATGTCGCCCGATCGATAGACAAAAGTTACAAAATATCTCAAACACACACCGTAGTAACAATCGATTTACTACTCGATTTGAAGGTCACAATTCCGTCGAATTTCGAGGACGAGGATGAAGAGGATCCTGACCGTGGCAGGCGAGGCGTGTTGCGTTCACGACGAGCGACATTCGACCCTATTACGAAGGCACTAGGGTTCAGGCGAGTCTCTGGTAGGCGGCGTTGAATTGCTCGAGGACTATGAAGGTGAGGACGGTGTGAGGTCCCAGGCGGGCGTAGTAGGGCAGGAAGCCTTTCCACAGCGAGAACAGGCCCTCGTTGCGAAGGAGCGTCGTCACGACCTCCAACTGACCTTGGCCCTTCGCCGCGTTCTGGATCCTGCGAGCACCGAACACGGGGAACCATTAGTGTGTACACCGTGTGCAACGACAGATCGAGTACATCAACATACGACAAATTAATGCTAAGGACAAAATGGCCGATGCCAATTTAAAAGGTCTACAAGTACAGCCAAAACGCAATTGGAAGTGTTTTCAACACAATAATTGACTAAAAACACTATAAAAATATTAAACAATGAATAATAATGAATACTACATAATGTACTACAATAATACTAAATACTACATCAGAAAATTATTATTATTACACATTTTACTAAATAGGATAGTGTTTTTTTTCTTTAAACAGTGAAACTATTCATTACATCATATAGAGTTTAAATATACTCCAAAATAGAAAGAACTATGCACAAAGAAATAATAAAAAGTATTGTGTATGAACAAAATGTCTTACATGACCGAGTTGCATTGGATTAAAAATAGTATGCGTTATTTCTGCAACAATTCTCATTATTTCCGTCTGTTTAATATTACCAAAATCATTTATTTAGATCAATTGCGATTACTAAATATTACATTAAAAGCCCCGTTACAAATGATCATTTGATTGATGATCGATGATTTCATCATTTAATTATAAACGATACTTTGCTAATACTGACAGGTTAAACACTCTACCACTTGTCTATGGTTCGACCATAATTATTCAATATGTAATAACTTGTTGCAAATGTTACATATTTTAAAAGAGTCGTGATAGCTCATCGTCCGAGAGCGCTTGCTTCCAATTAAATATTCTCGAGCAACCTGAGTTCGATCTTGGGTGCCGACAAGAATAAAATTGTTAATTATTAGCGCTGTCTGATCATGTTATTAGCGATGAAGACAAGCGTCGTGATGTCTGTATGTTTTCGAAAATAATAGCAAAAAAATATATTTCGCGGTTATGTGAAGTCCGCTAATCCGTAGTGGGGTCGCGTAGTGGTTGCCCAGCAGTGGGATATATATAGGCCGTTACTTTATTATGCCACAAATTGTGATACCACTTCTCAAGGCATATTTGTAAGAATGGAGGATTTTATCTAATGTGATTAAATAAGAGCTGCATCCTAGGAAAAAAAAACTCATTAGTTGTCTAAATTAATAAATAAGTTAAAAACGAAACAAGATTGTCTACAGTTTTTACTTTTTTTATTTTCTTGATAAATTAACTTCAGTTAATAAATGCTATGCTAAAAATCGTAAATGAAATCAAGTTTACAGATAATCAATATAAAAAAAGACATTTCCAATTCTAATAAACGTAAATAAGGTACTCTCACTTGTATTAAGTTATCAAAAGAATTGGCAAAGTATCAACTTTGTGTCTTATCGTTTAGGATTTTATTAACAATAATATTATTTTACTTTAAATTTTTGTACAAATTTTTGATAATGAAAAATAATTTGTTAAATAAATTATCAGTTACAAATAAAGAGATTCTCCGAAACCTAGCAACGGAATAAAGCCAAACTATTTTTACATTTACTATTTTTTTCTTCAATAATCAAAAAAAATTATGGGAATTGTATATTTCCATCACATAATTAATTCAGAAACCCAATACTAAGAGTATCGGTTATCCGTTTTCTCACCAATTTAACTATTTTTAAACCTTTTATAATACAACGAAGAATACTGCTACAAACAAGTAAATTATATCCCTCCCACAATTTTCGCAACGACACAGTCTGAGCTTTTAAAATGTCGTTCCATCGGCCACACAAATGACTTCCATCGGAACATTACTAGCGTTAAATCTGTTGATGTATCCGATACAGTTTAATTATTGTGTGGGCCGTTGTATACTCAACAGTAAACGCGTTTACAACAATTTCATTTTGCATTCATCACCGCTCCACCTCGTCACATTTAATTGTCAATTTACGTGTTCACGGACAAACACCGTTCGTCAGCGCACAAGCATAGTAATAAAGTGATATCGTAAACTCGCAAGGGACCGTGTCGAAACCCACAAGTTTCGCTGGGCTCGAAGTAGACGCAAGAGAGACGAGAACGCTTTATACGTAAAAAATAAGACGAATTACGTCATTTTTACCCATTCTACTAAAGCAGCATTAGTCTACCCGTGGTGCTCCTGGAAGCGGTGAACGGTATGTAACGGTTTAAACGCGTCCTACAATTTATCGCATTTTAGACTGTTATGAAAATCATCTCGCAGCATTCTCAATATCGGCGGTAATTCTATCATAACGGTTGAACCAATGAAATTATTTTCCACTGTATTCATAAAACATTACGTACTTCAATTTATAAAAAACGGCATCGAACATTTCTTAGCAAATAACACATTATAGTATAAAAGACTATGAACTAAACATTGAGTTGTTTGCCACATGACCTTAAGTTTTGAGGCTTTAAGCTATAAAGTATAGATAAACAATTATATAATAAAAAGTATTGCGTGCAGACGTCTTATTCTATATAATCACTTTTGTCATCGAAAACAGTTTTCTAAACGAATATACGTAGGGAAGAATGTCCCTTGGTTAGTTAATAATTAATCAACAATGCCCGATAGCGAATAATAATTTTAAACCACCCAATACAAAGTTCATTTTCGTGAGAGATTTAAATGAACTTGCACACACCGACCGTTTCTCGAATCCCTCGTTTCGATTTTAATCTAAAACGATTACAAAATACAGGGATCTTATCGAGCTAAGTTCCGGACTGTTTTAGAACGTGCTGCTGGTGTATTGGAGCATCGAACCATGCGACATTCGACCCTGTGCCGTACGCGATACGGTCTATTTGACGGATCTCAGGTAGGCGGCGTTCAACTGCTCGAGGAATATGAAAACGAGCACGGTGTGCGGGCCGAGGCGGGCGTAGTAGGGCAGGAAGCCCTTCCAGAGGGACAAGACCCCCTCGGAGCGAAGGAGGTTCGTCACGACGGCCACCTGGCTTTGGCCCTGGGCCGCGTTTTGGATTCTGCAACGGTTGAGCTCAAGAAAGACTGGAGAAAGCACGATCTCACGGCTCCAGGTTGACTAGTTGGTTTACCGTAGGCGCATTGTGCACACCAAATGGCATTGGGAATTTTTTTAATCGATATTAATTATAAGTTGGAGCTTCTTTCGCGTACCCGTTAGCCAGTCGAGTCTATGATCTTAACTTTAAGTCGTGAAAAAATTTCCCATGGCTTAAAAAGACCGTTAGCAATTTACTGTTGTACCCTGACTTCGGAAAAAATGGTTAGAGGCCGAAATTGACTGTCGATTGCCCCAAATAGACACCAAAGACCGTTCGGCACTTTCACATGTATTTCTATTCTCCACCCATGGACACTTGCAACACCCGTAGGGTTGCAGCTTCTTTGCCACCTTTTAATCATGTGACCTCTCTCCTTTTAGTTAATACTCAAATAAACTTTACTTTCTGAAAGTCGACGACGGCCTTTATGTGAATCAGGCATTAACAGAGTCATTAAAAAGACAAATTGGGAGTTGAGGGTTAAAAGCCGGGTTTCGCTCTTTAAGCATTCCTTTAAAAGAAGGTAATACACAGATGCGATTCAATACAAATTGAACTTCACTCTGAACCGAAGCGCAACACCTGTTTCTGAATTCAGCCCATGACAGTCAACTCGCAGTCAATTCTGTACACGCATCACGCATTCGTACCAAGCGATGGATACATACTTGGTCTTGATGATGTCCACTGGCATGGAGGCGATCGTGGTCACCAAACCGGAGGCCATCGACGCGCAGAAGTGGAGGAACACACCATCAGGCACGTAAGTGACGAACATTTCGCGGGCCTGGGGATAGACGCTCGTGTTACTTACACAACACACGGATGGATAACACAATGTCCAACAGACATAAATTAATGAAACGAAGACTCGACCGCATAAAGTACCAGCTATTCCTCTATTTTTTTTTCTCATCACACCATATAGAATAACTCTATACCAATCCTAAGAGGATTCTAATGACACATCATATGTTGTTAAAAGGCTCAGGTCGTAGTGAGCTAGAGAATTAGACAGATACACAAATATATTACATACATGCATACATACATTCGAAAAACATTACTACTCCGTTCAGCAGTCGGGTAAGAAGTCCACGTTGTCAATATCAAATAGAGACCATTTTCTCAACTGTGCGACAATATGTGCGAGAGAGAAAGTGGTCTGAGCCAAAGCGTGAACGAGAGAGCAATAAATATAATGATAATACTCCCGCTCCCCACAGCCTGTATATAAAGGTAGAATGACTAGTTTTTTTAATGTGAGAATGTTAATGTTAAGTGACAACCGCCGCCCGCCCATTCGCGCCACAGTTGTATAGTCCTACCACAGTAAAGCGACGCGGGAAAAGCTGTTAGCTCCAGAAGCGACAGCTCGCGCAGGCGGTCGTGCTGTAAGAGATTGCGAACATACCTGAGAGTAGGTGCCGAGCTGGGCGGCGTTGACCACCATAGCACGGACCACCGTCGGCGTGGCACCACGCCACAGTTTCAGCACGCCCTCCTCCTTTATGATCCTGCCGAGAGAAGATCAATTCTGAACATTACCGAACTTTTTCTGGTTAGTCTATGGGCACGGTATAACACACGCACTGTTTCATTGATCATGTAGCGTTCGTGTAAATTAAAGAAATAGCCGTTAAGACTGTTTGAGGTATAAGGGTTTTTTTTTTGTTAACGGCGTAATCAATGGAACATGTATTGTTAAATGACACTGCTCTGTTATAACACATTCAATTTTTAAATTACTTCTCTAGCCTTCATGTTCATCATCCTCCTAACCTAAACCCACTGTACCAGTTGTAAGTGGTTTTTGGCTATGTTTTTTACGGCCGCCTGCCTGACGTCAACCCTCCTTGGGAAACAAACACCCAGATCCGGAACAGTTAGCTGTGAGTCACACAAACATTTGTCTCGTGTGGGAATCAAACCCACGACCCCTGACACCGAAGCCAGTAGCTTAGCAACGTAGTCATCTGTTGCCTTCCTGTTATTAGATAAATTCTTGGTGTAAACTCTATAAATGCATCCGTGTGTTATATATAGCGAAAAGGAACTCAATATGAATATCCGAAAAGTATTAAATTAAATTTGTGAAAAACTATTTTTTTTGCGTTTCCTCTGACGAGTTAGGTGATTTTCAAAGGTTACCAACCTTGCAGTGCACTTGTAAACCGTTGTGGGTATTATCCATAGACGGCGGTAATCACTTAACATCTAGTGAACCCTACTAGTCTATATTTCACAAAGAAGGACTCTTTCGATTCGAACGGTATTCTTCCTGGAAGCTATTCAATATTGCAATGATCACACAAGAACTAAGAGCTATTCGTGAAATGTATTCCGCCAGAGACCCACCTCATGAGTGCGTCCGCCACGTTCTTGTAGTTCCTGCGCTGCTCCTTGGGCAGTCGGCCGTCTGCCGTCATCCTGATGAGGGCCACCTCCGCCGGCGTGCCCACGAACGAGCCGATGGCGCCCGCCGCGATGCCCAGCACCGCCTTCATTCCGAAGTTGGGAGTGGCGCCACCGTGCGACCTGGAAGCGATGCGCGCGCAATGGAACAATGGAGCAGTTATCATAATCATCATCCGACGACTCCGTGTCGCAATCGCCAAGGTATTGGCTACTGCGTTTGGGTTCGTGGGTTCTATTACCACACGGGACAACTATTTGTGCGACCCGCAGATATTTGTTTCGAATCTTCATGTTGTGGTGTTTGTGCATTTATGTTTGTAAAACGTCCTTATAACGCAGGATAATGTTATCCTAAAGTGAGGACAGTGTTTTATTAAAAAAAAATCAACATTTCATCCTGCGTCCACTGCTGTGCATAGGCCAACCCCGCAGACTAGCTCGCTCTCCACTGCGATGGCCAGGCTGCCACTCAAGAACCTTTTTACCCCATCGATTATACGGTTATACTATTGCACTATGCTACACGCATTGTACCTCTTTTTTTTTAATTTATCTCTTTTCTTTTTACTTTTCTTCACTAGAGATGGGCCGATATCGACTTGGCTGAGTAGCCGCGTGTACAACAAGTTGCCGCTAAAATGTTTGACTGGTCGGCAATGACGATAATTGGTTTTGGAACATAGCCAGGCTGATGTTTATGTTCTGAAAAGTTTTATTTACATTTCTCTATTTGCTGAATGCCACCGCAATGTTATATCGAAACAAATAATTAACAAGACGAGCTCACGTGTGAAAATGAGTAGGTGTTGTCGATATTCGTGGATAGCGGTGATCAGTTAACATCACGTGAACCGCCAACTCACTCGCCAGCAGCCCTTTTTACATAATTAAAACGTGGTGTTGGAATATTAGTTAAAAAAAAACAGTTTTGTAAGAGCATGGAGCGAATTAATTAATTCATTGAATTAAATTACTATTCTCTTAAATTATTATATATTCATATGTATTCTTCACCAATGCCAAAAAATATTGTTTTTTCATTTTAATAGAGCACAAGGAAAGAAGACATTCCTACCTACCATTTCGACGAAGTTCAGTCTCAAACCGGACAAAGTAATCAACTAGTTGTCATGAACCGCCTACGCGGTAATGGTATTTATTTTCCTGTCATATACAAACGCAGCGGTGCACACTAAATGCACATAAAAAGCCTGGCAAGTACACTATATTATACAAGCGACCCGCCCCGCTTCGCACGGATAACGGACCTGAAATGTCTACATTTTTTTTCTATCCGCGCGGCATAACTTTTATTTCAATAATCGTCACATTTCAGCATGAAGTATACACCTAGATCTTCAGTACTTTTTTAGTTAAACGGCTTCAGACCGGCAAAAAATAAGGCAATAGAGAGGGGGGAGGCTATTCGCACAACTTATCTTAAGAAAAATCTATTGATTCGACCGCTTAAAAACATAGGATCACCCGCTGGGGTTTATGTGAAGTTTGTCCGAAAATATGCAGTCCATACGAAACAAACATACACACATTTATAACATATATAATTCGATATATGCGCTTGTGTATGTGGACTGAACTCATAAACGGCTAGACTGATTTTGATGAATTTTTTTGTGCGTGTTCCGGTGAATTCGAGAATGGTTTACTTTCACAATTCGGTACACTACAAAATGTTTTTTTAATTTATTTATAAGTTGTTGTCGGATTTAAGACGAACGTTTTTTGGACGATTTGGATAGTAAATAAGAATCAAATCGAGCAAGCGGCACTCGAATTGTAAGCGGTTGCACAAACCAAGAGGCCGCCAGTTGACACGGTATTTTTTAATAAATCGATCCGCCGCCCGTTCGGGGCCGTCGGAATATTTCACCTTATCATTGCCACACAATGGCGTTATCACTGAGCGGACAAACAAAGATCACGGTGTCAAGAGATGACGGCCGCTATAACTCATGCGGCGACGCTAACGAAGCCTCATCGGCCAAACGTAATTTACGACCATCAATCGCACTCACGACTCCAATACACACTCGCTTTACGAATTACGTCCACGGCCGTCCAGGTGATAAGCCGCTGGATAAATCAAACTGAGAGGAGCTAATGCATCGCGATAATTCTAATGAAGAAGCCGAGAGTTTGGCGTCTCTTCGTGCGCTCAAATTTTTCACAACGTCTTGTGATTTAGAAAGCTCATTTCAATGCGATTCGTATTCTGCAGTGTCTGACGTTGTCGGTGGTGGCTTATCGTTTTTCTGGTAAAACTAGCTGGTTGAAAATTGCCATCAGAGAATACGTTTACGTACGTCGTTATTAGCTCACCCGCACGTATCAGTGGAGTTGTATCGTGTGCCAGATGGTGTTGGTTCGATCCCCAGTAAAGGAAAAATATCAGGTCTTCATATATGTATGATATGCATACATTTACAAAATAGAACTATGTCTAGGTATGTTTGTTAGTTACCTAGTACCCATAGTACAAGCTTCGGTTGGGACTACACAACGTTTAGTCACCTTTTTGTAAACCTTGTTTATTTTGTTGGTTATAAATACATAAATAGCACAAATATCGAACGCAATACCTCAGCGGCAGTGACAGTGATAACTCTTAGTAGTTCCAAAGGAAATGGTTTAACGTCTTACAATGAAATGAGCAAAAAGCCATTGGGTAACGCAGATTAAGCTTCCCTTAACGACAGTCGGCAGTATTGCATTACTTGTTGGCGAATCGGTGTGACGGTAGATTTTCAGAACGTAGGAACGATTCCCGCGTAAGATTATTATATACTTAAATGTTTTCATTATCTATATATTTTTGTTATCTAGTCCCGAACATTGCAACGCTTGTGTTAGAGGTATATGGGTAAAGAAATAAGATGAAACGGGCTTTTTCAAATATTATCTTCGATCATATAGTTGGAAAGTCAAATACAGTTTTGTTAGCACAGAACTTATGCTTTTACCCAGTGGTTGATTTTGTTGATTGGTCCAAATCCGATTTTTTTCTCAATGACAGTCCGATTCTTTTCGCAATAGCAGTTGAGATATTTGATAGTAATTTGCAATTAGAAGAATCGGGGGTTTTCTTTTATAATATTAGATACGGGATAAACTAGACTATAGGGATAAGGTAATTATTATATTACAACGAGTATGATGGTGACAACAGGTTGTGATTGATAACATCGAAATAATTTTGTATCATTTGAACTTTATCTCATTTCATACAAATATTGTAAGGTTGTAAGATCTCTTGAATATAGGATAATATATATCTATAATAGACATTTCTAAAGCAAATTCTAAAAATGTGACATTCTCTTGATTATGATATCCGTTCTTTAAATTATTACCTTTCGTAATAAGATACATACGTATTTGTATTTCGCCGATCGTGATACCAAGAATATAAATAATAAATACCATAATTTCGATTTCTTTGACCGATATACATATAATGCGATATACCGACGACAACGGTATCACGGTAACTAATCTACAATGGGAGACGTGAGACCGTTTTCTATATTGGAGACTTATTACTTCTTATCACGCATTGTTGTGACTTGGCCACTACATTGGCAAGTCTGTAAAGAATGCACGTGTTGATGTACTAATGTGGCACTAAACGAAACTTATCGTGACCACACTTTTCGATCGTATTTAGCTTAGGGATAGTGCAATCAGGGACCCTAAGTACACTATCAAATCTGAAAACTTCTACTATATAGGATGATGATTTCAAGTTGTTTTTTTTGCAAAATCTTTCTATACAGAGGCCAGAATGTCTTCGGCGCGACACCGACATACGAATAGTGAATGTCACTAAAATTCTCAGCTTATCCCCTGAGAGATTAAGACCTTCTGAAGAAGAACTAATCAGCTATCTAATGGCTTTACAAATGTTATTTGAGTTGCCAAAATTACTGTTAAACTCTCTGAATTGATCAGAATGATGTTCTTAATGATCAGAATGGGTATACTACATAGGTCCCTTGATGATGGATCGTCAGGATTATCGGCGTATGATAAAAAATGTGTTATTTGTGGTAATTGGGTTGTTACATAACAGTTATAACGGGCCTTCACGACCGAATTGCGATACCCGACTTTCCTTGTCTGTTTCAATATACCAGATTACTACACTTTGAAAAGTAAATACTTTATAAATTAAAAATTGCCTACGGCAGGTTGACTTATTTAGGGACGGAGCCCGAATTAATATCGGGTAGAAAAATCAAATTTTAATGTAACATTTTATAGGCCACCATAACAGGCGTATAAATACGCAAATATAATATAATACAAAGAGTATCATAACAGATTAAGGTTCCTAAATGTTTATCTCGTTATATTTAGGGATAGTCTCTTAAGTATGGCTTTGCGCTTTATAGGTGCATAACTGAGGGCTCGCGAAGGTTCTATGTAACAGCGTATAAATGTCCCACTGCTGGGCAAAGGCCCCTGTAAAGAGGGTATTAGGGCATAGTCCACTATGCGACCCCACTGCGGATTGGCGGACTTCCGTTATGTTCGAAATATTTATTTTGGTATTAAATCGAAAATTGCAGGTTTCCTCGCGGTGTTTTCCTTCACAAAATTAATAACTTCGTTGGTGCTGACAACAGGGATCGAACTCAGGTTGCTCGAGTAAACTGAATTAAAGACGAGCGCTCGGACACTGAGCTATCACGGATAATTATCAGATTCTATGTGATATTTGTAATTTCTGTGAGCTAGCAAATCCATCGAAGACACAGATAAAAAAATCCAAATCCAAATCATTTATTCATCGAAATAAGAAATATACATTTCATTTATCGATAGTCATATTTAAATCTAACACCGTTTCGTAATGAGGTTCCTCTAACGGAGAAGAAACAGGCGAAAGAAACTCCGTAGGTATCCTCTTTTTTGTCATTTTTTTTTACTCAACAAATACATAGTTATACAGTGTATATTTTTTAGAAACAGCTTAGGAGCGATCATCTCATTCCCAGGGGTTATTATCGTTAATGTATTCATTTATATTATAATAACCCTTTTTAAAAAGTTTTTCTTTAATAAATTTCTTAAACCTGTTAATAGATAGGCTTTGCACA